CTCTTCCAACTCTATGATTCTATGATTCTATGATTCTATGATCCTTGCCTATGAAAACCCCAGGAAAACAACAAACCACAAACTTCATTGTACTGTACTGAGCCATGGCAAAGCAGTGTTAAACTGCTTTAATTCTGCCATGCAGATGCAGCCTCGGTAAACCCAATGGGATTTATGTCCGAGTAGACATGCAGAGAGAGAGATGTGTAGAGAGACAGCATGGTGTAGTGGTTTGAGCATGAGACTGTGACTCTGGAGACCAGGGTTCGAGTCCCGACTCGGCCACAGAAACCCGCAGGGTGACTTTGAGCAAGTCACACTCTCTCAGCCTCAGGGAAAAGCAATGGCAAACCCCCTCTGAAGAAACTGGCCAAGAAAACCTCAAGATAGGGTCGCCTTAGGGTCGCCATAAGTCGGAAGCTGTTGGAAGATTTTTGCATTCTCTTTCTCCCCTCTGTATATAGATAGGGATTTCCTGCATGTAAACCCTCTCTCTCTCCTCTCATTCAAACTAACCATGTGACTTAGGTCACTCCTCCTTTTGGGACTCACATTCTCTCAAGATTTTCAATTGAACTGTTGGTCCTCCATCTTCCTCCTGTCTCAACTTCTTTTGGAAAGATGGTGAGATCAATATTTCTTCTTAACCTGAACTATTCACTATCTAGATTAGGATCTAGCTTTTCTGTCAATACAGATTAAAATCCAGTAGTAAACTATTGTTTTGAACTTCAAGCTCCTTGTGTTGTTGCCTTTGGGTCAGTCTCAGTTTTTAGGGAAGCGTAGTTAGATAGACAAAGGTTCATTTCTGCTGCTCTGCTAATTTAAAGCTAGACCCTAAGAGGCTTGGCGTTGATCATTTTTGGACATTTAAATATATTTGTTTCCTTACTAAAGGCTGAAGCCTTGGGACACTTAAATTACCCTACAGAAACAACTTGAAGGCATACAACAACAGCAACAACAACATGCCTAGGATGGCCCTAAGAGGTGGAGGTGTTGGGGATTCAAGTTTCCTAAGGCTTCAGCCTTTGTTAAGGAAAGAAAAATGTCAAAATGTCAAAGCCAAGCCTTTTAGGGTCTAGCTTTAAATCAGCAGAGGAGCAGAAAAGTGTCCTTGCCTAACCAGGCTTTCCAAAAAACTGAGACTGACCCAAAGACAACACAAGTAGCTTGCAGTTCCAAAGAAAAATTTACTAATGGCTCGAATCTACATATGCATAGAGGCTACATCCTAAGCTAGCTAATGACTTGCCAGCCTGCAAAAGATCCTTTCCACTTACCATCTTAAGTTACTAAGGAGAGAAACATCAAAATGAAGGCATCTAACTAACATCTCCAATTGGTTTGGTTTGGAACATCTTGCCTGATGAAGAAGAAGCCAGTGGAGCTTCGAAAGCTTGCAACAAGTATGCATTGTGCATTTGGGTTGGCCGATAAAGGTATCACTGATGTATTATTATTATTATTATTATTATTATTATTATTATTATTATTACCATCTTAACTAAAGACTGAAACCACATGTAGGCATCTGACTGACATCTCCAATTGTTTGTCTCCTGTTTGGTTTGTAACATCTTACCTGATGAAGAAGAAGAAGCCCATGGAGCTTCGAAAGCTTGCAACAAGTATGCATTGTGCATTTGGGTTGGTCAATAAAGGTATCACAGTTTGGTGGATTTTTGTTTGGACTTGCTAAAGGGCCAACACAGCTACCTACCCCTGCATGTTAGCTAATGAATAGTGCAGGTAAAAGAAAGAAACCTTTATCTCACCATCTTTCCGAAGAAAGTTGAGAGAACAGGGAGATAGATGGGAGACCCATCAGATCGTAGCAGGGAGTCTCTTTGTGTAAAAAAGAAAAACCTTCCTAAAGGAAGCGACCTGGACCACATGGTTTGTTTCCCAATTTGCAAAGGTATTTATTGCCCCTGTGATTCAGTGGGACCAAATGGGATGTTTTAATGTCGGAGTTTGCATGCAGGAAATCCCTATCTATCTGAGGAAGGGGAAAAGAGAAGGCTGACATTTTCCAAACAAGAGGTAGACCCAGTTCTCAGCCCAATGCAATCCAACTTTGCTTCTTTGGAAGGAAATCCATTGGGTTTACTCTCAAGGAAAGAAAGGTCCATAGATAGGATGGCAGAGTGTAATTTTCCACCAAGGAAGAGATTAGCCTCAGTCCAGACCCATCGCTCTCCATTGGGATTTCCTGCAAAGCTGCTCTCCAGGGACTTTTAAAACACACACACACACACATATATAGATATAGAGATATATATGACAGCCTACGGATAATGCCTGTCCTCCCTCATCCGCTTTCAGAACGGAAACATTTTAATATCATCATCATCATCATAACGTCAAACGGATTTCCCTTAATCCCCGATGCCACAATTCTCTGTTCTCACAAAGCCCAGAAACCTTCTTTTGGGTTCCAGACTGAACCCAAGAGACGCACGTATTTGCAGCATGAATATATATATATTCATG